ACATTTGTGGGGAGGAGGTTGATGTCAAACCAGGGAGGGTCAGAGGAGGAATGGCATGGAGTTTCCTCGAATAGATTATGGCTGTCTCTTGTGAATAGGAGCATTCCATGTACAACAATTTGCAGGCCACACTTGCATATTAGTATCCATATTTTTCTTATGCCTCTGTGGCATTAGCCTTACCCTATAATTAGGGCTGTCACGTGATTAAAGAGACCTTTGTTAATAAGTCATGTGGGTTTTAGTTGATTAATCAGTTAAATCTGCATTCCATGCCGACTCAACATCCTTAGTCCTCCTTGGCCAGTCCCCTACTTTTTAAGGGATTCTTGCTCTCTGGATTATCTGCCACAAGTCTTAAAAGGTCTTAGGTCAATTCCTCTCCCCCTTCCCCCCCCCCCCCAGTGTGGTGTAGTGGTTAAGAAAGGTAGACTCGTAATCTGGTGAACTGGGTTCGATTCCCCGCTCCTCCACATGCAGCTGCTGGGTGACCTTGGGCTAGTCACGCTTCTTTGAAGTCTCTCAGCCCCACTCACCTCACAGAGTGTTTGTTGTGGGGGAGGAAGGGAAAGGAGAGTGTTAGCCGCTTTGAGACTCCTTTGGGTAGTGATAAAGCGGGATATCAAATCCAAACTCTTCTTCTTCTTCTCCCCCCAAAAAATCTTGACTGCATTAACCTTCTGGAGATCAATTTGTATCTCACTGGAGGTATTATCAATTAATAAGCTTCAAAAGTCTTTCCCAACCCAAGCCATGTTAATCGGTCTTGTTCTGCATAAGTAGTGCAGGAGTCAAACTTTTTATGGATGTGGGAAGCGGGAGATGGCGAGAGTGAGAGAATGTCACACAGAAAAATCTTTTGTCAGCCAGGAAAAAGCTCCAAGCTCTTCTGTGAGCACAGATGTTCATTTGGGAGAGAGGGTTTTCTTCCTACTTTAATGATTCTAAAAATATTAGCCAATGATAAATTATTCACAAAGGATTATTATATACATGAGCAATCATTCATCATCAAGCCTGAATTTTTTTTCATTGTCATCACTCAATTTGCATGAAATCCATCCAATTCTGTTTGCCTACATTAATATATAAGTCAGGTCATTATGTGCTTTTTTGGACAATGGGTGATAAAAGATACATTTCTCCCACACAAGAAGCAATTCTTTACCGAGAGAAAAATTACTACCCAAACCAAATACAGCCCTACTCATTATTTCTTCTTCTTCCTCTAAATAGTAACTTGGTCTGTCAGCATGGATGAAAGCTAAAGCCTGTGATTTTTCTAAAACATACTCTAATATGGCTGTTGATCACTGTGAGGGTGCTGATGGTCATCTCTGCAAAAAGCCAAAGGATATTTCCAGATCGCACCAGGGACCACATGATAGGCCATAATAAGAATCAGAATCAGAATCAGAATCAGAAGAAGAAGAAGAAGAAGAAGAAGAAGAAGAAGATACTGCTTAATGGAAAAAAATAGGCTTCTAAACAGTTTACAAGTAATCAAGATCGTGTTGGGGTGCTTGACATTGTGTGGTTCAGGGCAGTCTGTGCAGCAACTGCTTCTCAGACTTTGAATTTGTTTGGGATTTGAGCATCATATATCTAAATTCTGTCGACATGCAGAGGGCCGGGAGGCCAGCTGGCTAGCCCCATCTGAGCCATTCCCTTCCAGCCATCCTGCTGTGAAGACCATCGGCCTCTGCCCAATGTAAATCAGCGACCCGGGCTTCAAAGCCAGGGCACACTATCAGCAGAGCGAACTGCACCCACAGAATAGGCGTGAGGCTTGTGGAAGCATACCACAACTACAGATTTATTAATCATAAATCAGGACAAAGAAACATGTCGTCTCTCTCTTTCGTCGTCTAGAGAGAAAAGAAAAAGAAAAAGCTATACACAACGGAAGTTCCCAGCAAGCTGTGCTGGAATGTAAACAGACATGTGACATGCAACAGTTCCACACGTCTGCTCCTTAAGGTGGAATGGAAATCTCAATTGGGGCTTGTTGGTGCTGGTTTTGCTGGGGATCTCATTCCCTTCCTCCTCCCCCTGCTCCCACGACACAGATGTCCATCACTGGAGACCCATTTTCAAACCAAGTTGAACAATTATCACTACTCAAAGGGGTGGTATGGTACATTTATGATACCCAATGGCCTGTCTGGGAGCAGTGGTGTATACTCTAATGAAATATCACAGTGCTGGTTCACCGTTAGCCAACTCAGTGCCCTCCTGACTGCAGTTCCCATAATCTGAGACCATTGGCCATGCTGCCTAGGTTGGATGAGAGTTGTAGCCCAACAGTGTGTCATTTACTCTGGATTTGTGTATACTGAAAATCAATTAAAATGTCCAGGGAAACCTGGGTGTATGGCAGCCCATATCAGAAACAACTTCTTCATCTTTTGATATATATATTTGGGGGGGGGGGGTTCAGCAATTTTCATGCCCAGATTTTCACTTTTTGAAATATGGCAACCCTATTGTAATTCCAAAAGCAGAAACATCTGGTGGGCCACAATACAATGAAAATGAATGTTTATAACACTGAGGATAGACAGCATAGCATATATTGGATAAGCCATTGATCTAATCCAGCAGGACTCTTCTTATGCTGGAGGATTGAATTTAGCTTGGTTGAGTTACACATTGTGCAGGCCTTTTTTGGAAAAGAAAAAAAAACTACACAGTATAGGTATTTTATCCCGATGAAGACACATGTCTTCTTTTCATACATTGGCCAGAAGCATGGAATGTGTACATGGTGCAAAAGCTGCTACAGAAACTGACATGTTTGCAGATCTTAGAAAGTTGAACAATTAAGCATATAAAGACGGGGTCCCAAACTAGCAACTCATACAACAAGGTAAAGGAGGAAATCTGATATATGAAACAAATCTGCATGGCTTTTCCACAAATTATGCAGCTGTAATATAAGTTTCTCAAAATAAACACACATGTTTCATCAAAGAGCAACCAACCCTAGCTCTCACACAGGTTATTTGCCCGATGCATTTCCAAATATATGTTTGCTGCATTCACCCTTGATTTCTTTTTGGTTTGTGTTTTAATTTTTTTTTTAACTGTATGCCCCAAACTATAATGAATGAAGAGACCCTAAGATACAGCGACCTATTATACTCTGAGCCTATCAAATTACTCATTGTTTCTTAGGATCTTTTTTTCTAATGTTCAATTTATAATATTGTGTGTTCTAGCTTCAATATTATTATAGCTTTCAGAGGTGTTCCTATATACCCTCAATGTGCTTTTGGTAAAAAGGAATGCCTAGCAAGACCTTTGTATAAGAAGAGTACAAAAACAATAACTAGAGAACAGAGTGAACAATTTATTTTCTAAGCATCTGGTAGAGAGAAGGCTTATCACTAATGCCTGTAGACAGATACAGATTTTCCTTCACTGTGCTTTTTTTATTGTAGTACCCAAATGTTGCAAGCAGTATATTTATTTTGAGAGTGGAGGAAAGAATCTAATATATAACGGACTGATTTTGTTGTCAGATTTTGGCCATTAAGCATATTTATAGCTGCTTACAACTTCTTTGGGGAGCATACCACTGGTGGCATTCATTGCCTGCTACTTGAGATGGTATTTTTTGAAGGGATAGGATGGCCTTAAGAGATTGTGGAGGATGATTTGTGTGTCAATTTCACTGAATCTACAATATCAAAGGTAAGGGGAAATAAATAAACAAGTTTAAAAAAGGACACCCATATATTTATAATAACAAAATGCATGTCTTAAATACACCTCTGTGAACACCACTGCTAGTTAGAGAACAGAAAGAAACAGTCACTCCATTAATAATTTGATTTTTTTAAAAAAATGTCTTTTTATTAAAGATTTTCTTGGGTTACAAAAGTATGTGCAATCTCTCTCTCTCTCTTTCCTTCTAGTAACATTTTTTTACAGATCAGTTTCATTTGTTGAGACACTGGGAAGAAAAGGGAGGAAAGAGGTGGAGGGGAAAAAGGTGAGTGGGGGTGGGGTTGGGTGGTGATGTTTCTATTTTTCTTAATATATGTGGGGTTTTGCATCAGTGTCGCTAGCGCAGGTTCCCTGCTATTCACTTGTGTTTCTTTGTTGGTGAGAGAGGCTGGGGTTGGCCTAGGGTGTGGTTGTTTGTTTATGATTGGCTGTGATGATCTTTGTTTTCATGTGTGAGTGGGGTGGGTGTGTGTTTTGGATCAGGTTAGCCATATTGATTTGTATGCTGTTGGTGGATTATTGTCATTGTCTTGTTGGGCTGTGTATGTGATAAAGGGAAGCCATACCGGGGTGAAGGTGTCTTCTTCTATTTGTCCCCGTGTCAGTTTCAGTTTATTGGTTAATTTTTCTAGTAAGGTTGTTTCCCATACTGCTTGGTACCATTGGCCCATGCTTACTCCTGACAGGTCTCTCCAGTGTCTGGTTATGATGTTTCTGGCTGCTGAGAGTAGGTGGGTTATGAGTTCTTTGTGGTGTAAGTGGGCATTATTGTATTGGAAGATGTTAATAGGGCCAATTCTGGGGTGATTTCTAATACTTACTTAGTTATTTTACTTATTTCTCATATGGCTGTTGTCCAGAATAGTTGGATTTTGGAGCACTCCCACCACATGTGGAGGTATGTGCCTGTGGAGGTGCACCCTCTCCAGCATTTTGGTGAGGTTCCTGGTTCTATTAGCGCTAGTTTTCTTGGTGTTAAGTACCACCTGTAGGTGAGTTTCAGAGTGAGTTATTTTCTTTTCATTGGTCATTCCATTAATAATTAGAAGTTTGTGAATACTGAGAATCATAGAATCATAGACATGTAGAGTTGGAAAGGACCCCAAGGGTCATCTAGTCCAACCCCCTGCAATGCAGAAATCTCAGCTAAAGCATTCATGACAGATGACCATCCAACCTCTGCTTAAAAACCTCCAAGGAAGGAGAGTCCACCGCCTCCTGAGGGAGACTGTCCCATGGTCAAACAGCTCTTACTGCCTGAAAGATTCTCCTGATGTTTAGTTGGGATCTCCTTTTTTGTAACTTGAAGCCATTGGTTCGAGTCCTACCCTCCAGAGGAGGAGAAAACAAGTTTGTTCCATCTTCCATTTGACCACCCTTGAGGTATTTGAAGATTGCTATCATATCTCCTCTCAAGTCTCCTCTTTTCCAGGCTGAACATACCCAGCTCCTTCAAGCGTTCCTCATAAGGTTTGGCTTCTTAATAGGGAATAATCACCAGTTGTGAAGTACAGCTTAGCTTGTTGGGGAAAGAAGACCCTTTTTAACAAAGCTTGAAAAATTAAACAAACTTAAACCTAAAAGTAGACACAAACTTTTCTGTGTTTATATCTAGGACCGAGCAGTTGTGGTCAGGTGGTGTTGCTTCCCTTACTTCACTTTGTTGCAATCACTGTGGCTTCCTGGGATGGGAAGAAGTTAGTGTCAGGCTTCAAGGAATCAGCTTCCTCTCCCATAAGAAGAGATCAAACAAAAGGAACGTCTTACCAGTTAGATTCGTTAATAATCATAGTGAGAGAGAAAAGAACACATCTCCCTAGAAATGGTGGTGCTCCCAGTTAAGGCTCACTTCCCCCCTCCATCCCTGTTAATCTACGTCACTCCTATGTCTTGTAATCTGATCTTGTACCCTCTGCGCTTTCTGTTCTAACATTTTCTGAGCTCTCTGTGTCTTTGGGGAAAGGGGGCGAATGCTGTCCAGAGACTGTGAATCTCTCTCTTCTAATGTTCTCTCTCTTCTAGTGTTCCAAATCTATACTGTCCCCCTGCTCCTGGGAAGATTCAGGATCAGGAGAAGGGGGTGGCTCCCACCATTCTTTCTCAGTGCAGCCCTCCTCAGCACGGTCTCTGACAGTTAAGTACCAATGAGGTTGCTGTGGTGCCAGTACACTACAGGAACACCAGACTAGCTCCACTGATGTATTTATACCTTACTGCATTCACCACTGCCTTCCCCTTCTGTTCTCCCTCTTGGTAAGCCACAGCAAAGGGGTGATGGGAAATCAGGTAAGTTCCACCGCCTTATTCCACTGCCTGCTACTGGAATTGGGAGATGTCTCACCAAAACTCTTTCTCCCCCCCCCCACAAATTATCAGAAGTTCCACCTATATCTTCTCTTAGGTGAAGCTTGGATCCACCCTGAGAATTTATGCTAGTCCTATTGGAAGTCTTCTGCTTTGCTCAAAACCCCATAGATGCTTCAACCAAGGAGAAATGTCCAAATTTTCCATGAAATTTTTGCCAGAAGAGAAATTCAGGCACAATTTTAAATGCATCATAAAACAAGTGCTGAACTGGACATCAAAACACCATTTGCTGTTGTTTCTTGGTCATCTTTCTGCCATATATTAAACTCTGCAAAGTGCAATGTATTTGTGTGAATTGACCTATGCAGCTACCTATATATTCATCTGTTGAACCAAAGAAACATTCTGTAATGCCATGCAAAGACAACTGGATGGCTTTTGTGCCTAGATGCACACTTGAGCTATGCCATTCATCACCTGTACTAAATTATCTACTGTGGTATCTACAGGTGAGATTAAAAATGAATGAATGAATGAATGAATGGGAAAGTAGTAGACCTGGACCAAAATGATCCACCACATTAACTCAATGTGATTCTGGGAGAAGTCCAAAGATCACTCCCATATAGGGCATTGACCAGGCCTGCTTGGCATTACTGACACACTGAAAGCTTTGAGACAGAAGCAAGGGCACATATGCAATGTGAGTTTGCTCATATTCAAGCAACTGCAGGTGGAAGCCTCCTGCAGTACTTCCCCAAGCAACATGATGAAAATTGGAGATTGAGAGGAGGCACACCATGCAAAAGGGCATTGCAACCCCACCTTGGTGTACCCATGTGTTCAGGCACACCATACCTGAACACACCTATTATGGGAACTGAAATGTCATGGTCTACAACCCATCCAACCCTTTGCTCAGTCTGTGTTTTTAATATTCTGTTGGGAGCCACCCAGAGTGGCTGGGTGACATATAAATAATAAAGTTGTTGTTGTTGTTATGTAGCTGCACGCTGCAAAGAAATATTAGTAGTGGATGGCAAGCTGTATTTAAAGAAGCTTGTTTGCCATTATTGGTTTTCTTATTTAAAACCCCCTGAAAAGTTTCCAGGAACCCTCAGGCTTCACTGGAGCACAGTTAAACCAAAACTAAATGATTGAACCTTCTCCAAATACTACTTTTTTTAAAAAAAAAGTCCTAACAAGGCAGGCTCCTTCTTTTTTTATTTGTAATTATGTTAGTGACACCCAAAGAAGCTTGACTTCTGCCAGTTGTGAGCATGGATTGCTGATACGCAGCTTCAGGCCTTTGCTCAAATTGAGTCCCTGTGTTCTTCCTACGGAACAGATTCCAGCAGAAAACGGTGTGTATTCCAAGTTTCCTAGATATATTGGGATGGGCACTATTCTTTGGCCACAACTCTGCATAAGGAAGGAGGCTGCAATCTGCTTTCTCTCTCTCTCTCTTTCCAATCAGCTACAGCCACAGGGTCTTGGCAAAACTCCATTGTGGCCGAGAGTCAGAGTCAGCTGTAGCTTGGGTGCATCTGTCAGCCCTAACTGAAATCTTAACATTTTTTGCCATGGCGTACTGATTTGCTTCCAGCAGAAGCTATTAGTGAAGGTTCGTTCCAGTTGCTGTTAGTCATCGTTGCTAGCACTCTAATTGTTTGACTTTCAAATATCGGGGATAATGGCATTTTTAATGTGATGACTTTGGTTATTTTTACTCAACTTTTTTTGTGGGGGGGGTAATGATAAAGGGCTCTCCAATTTTCATGGAGCATATTAGTATTGAGGTGGCATGTATGGCATTTCTCTTGCTTGACGATAAACAAGAGGACGCAGGCTCTTCGATGTTTTTGATGCGATCCCACAAAGTAAAAATTGAAGAGGGGATAAAAGAAAGCCAGTGGCAGAGCTTTCGACACGAAGTAAACAAAATGTGAAGAAAGGCCAAGAGATTGGCTTTGAAAGTCTTTGAAGACAAGCATTATCATTGCTTCTAAAAGTCTACAGAAAGAGGCAGAGACTCACATAATTATGCATTTATAAAGATACTGGGTTAGACTAAGAAGTGCTGATAACCTTTTAAAATAATAAAACTGAGGGACTCTATAAAGGACATGCAGATCATCTGATCTAGTCATCTGCTCCCAGAATCCTACATGCTGAAACAAATTTGTGTATGCAAGTGTATGTGTAAATGTAGGTGTGTTGTATCTGACAAAAGGGGCAATCCTGTGGCAAGATAATGCAGGGCAGCCAGCATTAAGTCCCCAATCCTGGCTCCTCCAAAGATATGCTGACATAACTTGCTCATCCTAGCTCATCTGGGGCTCAGACAGCTAAGCTAAAGCTGGCTGAGCCAAGTCCAGTGTTAGTCTCAAAAATAGGTGTTCTGGAGATGAGACCAGAGACAAGGGGACTTTGGCCAGACCCGAAACCCATTCACATCAATCATGTGAGCTGGAAACCTGGTATAAATTACTATTTTAAAGGCTTGTTTCCCCTCTGCCAGGCTTAGGCAGACAGCAGTCTCTCCACTGCTAAATGCAGTTTGGATCTGGTGTAACTTTACTCTTCTGTAAGTTATACCAGCTTGCTTTTCATGAGCTTTTTCTGCATAGGATTGCTTCCTACGTCATCCTAAGAGTAGACCCATTCAAATCAACGGACTTAGGTGAAACAGTCTACTCTGGGTGTGACCTAGTTGGATACCACGCTTGATTGAAACAGGTATACTCAGATTACGGCTTAGTTGGATAAATCGCAACTTCATTTTTTTAAATAAAATAATATTTATTGCTTTTAAAAGTTACAAAAAAGTAGAAAAAAAGAGAGAAAAAACAAAAAACAAAAAAAGAGAAAAACAATACAATATATAAACAATACAAACCCACCCTAAACCCATTGAACTAAACACATGAACAAAGCAAGACAAAAACAATTTAAAAACATCCCTCCTTTTCCATACTCTGTCCTTCATTCCCTTGTTTCCTCGACTTCCTCACACCTCCCTTCTTGTATCCCGCTTCTAGTACTTGTTTCAGCAAATCCTTTCCATCTTTCTCTATTTTCTGTCATATTATGAATAACATATTCTTTAACCTTATTTCCCATTAACGGTTGATTACTTATATACACCCAACTTCTTATAGCATTTCTGCTAAATCCATAAAATATCATTCCACCATTTTTCTGACAGTCATTACTTTAACAAAATTTCTAAATAAACACTTTAAATTTTCCATTAATCTTCCACTATCTCCTCTCCCTGGCTTCGGATTCTGCCAGTCCTTTCCGTCAGTTCCATATAATCCATCAACCTGGTGCCCTTATATCCGAGGCTCTTAAATCTCTTCCAAGTCCCTTCTGCAGGTCTTCTTCATATTCTTTGATGCTCAGGAGCAAATCTCGGGAAAACTCCAGCCTAGCAATACTTTTGTTCCTTCTGGACAGTTCAGCCAAATTTCCAAAGTTAAAAGTAAAGTCCATAGAGTGTTTCAGAACGTATTTCAGGATTCCTCCAATTCTAGCGACCCCCAAAACTTCAAGCTCCTCCAAGCCCAGGTCCATGTCCCAAAAGTCAGTCAATCCCTGGATAGAGGGTTCTTTCCAACTTTCCTTCTTCAATCCAAGCCGGGATCCTAGCCTCAAAATTTGACTTTTGCTAGATTCAGTCATGAAAGACCTCAATTTATAATCCTCAATCTGCTTCTGAGAAATTAAGGATCCCGCTTGTACTACTTTTGGTTTCACATCATCAGCTTTCTCCTTTTTCTCCACCATTTTCACATCATCAGCTTTCTCCTTTTCCTCCACCATTTGTCCAACCAAGATATGTTCCTGTACCAAATCCTGAGTTGTTTCTGTATTGACACTCACTTTTTGATTCAAATTAATCACGTTCTGTTCCAAGTTGTCAATTTTAGAGATCGTGTCATCTGTCTTTTTATGGAGCTGTTCCAGCGAGTAGTTTATCTTGTATAATACAGTCACAATGGCTTCTCCTATCAACATTTTGAGTGATCCAAGGTCAGACTCCAGTTTTCAGAATCTTATCTTGCAGCTGGAGCTCTCCCTGTTGCACTCCTGTAACAGTTTCACATGCTCCCTCTAGAGGGAAACAGTCTCCGTTTGTATCAATT